ATATAAGACCTTGTGATTGGTCAGATTGCACAAGGTTTGTGATGTTAAGCCTGTGCACCTAGGGTAATACTCCAGACTGCAGTTACAATCAGCCACTGAATCTGTGGTCAGATTGGGTGGCAGGTGCGACATGACCTCTAGTTTTTTTTGGGGGGGGGGAAATGAATGGTTTCTCATTTATTTTAAATCACTGTTGGAGAATTATAACTCTAGTGCATGTACATACACAGTCTAATTGAGACTTAGAAACAAGAAATCCACTTCTTTGAACCAAGGTCTGTGGCTGTTGCAAGTTTCTTGAGGAAACAAGATTTTCAAATGGCCAGAGTCCCATTTTTAGAAAAAATTACAGAAAAAAAGTCTATGATAAAGTGGCTGGATTGACACAAAACGAGCATATATACCGGTATACATGTACATTTATGCCCTGTTATCCTCCCCACACATGATTTGAAATTTAGAAATCAATCATGAAATTTAGAATCAATACATTATCTAAGAAATATTTACACTCCAACCTTGCTTGGCAACTGCCGATACTCTGGGGCATAGCAAAATAGAAGGATGATGGACTGCACAGCCAAACGAACACTTGATCCTATTCAGTTTATTATGAGTGTCTTTTTTTTTCTTTTTTTTTGTTAAGGACCCCTTAATGATCATTATTAATTGTTCCCTTGGGAATTTGTTCATTTATGAAGACGAGGAGAATCCTAAGCTTTAGGCATGGGCATTCTGCCCGAGAGAACAATGTCCCAATCCATCACGCGGCCGTGATGACCGATTGACCGAATGCTTCAGCCATTCAGAGCCGGCCCAAGTGCATGGCTGCAGTCGTTGTTGGGGATGTTATTCATCTCCGTCAGACTGTAATTACTTCTCTCCGGAGGGCACATTTATTGTGAGGGGGGAAAATATCATATCTGACAATTAATTTTGGAGAGTGGGCAGGCCTACTGTATCGTTGCTGGGGGACTTGGGGCTCGGGTGCTGTCGGTTGAATAGCCTTGACATTTTGGAGCTGGGAGAAGACTTTCAGAGCTTAGAGGGTACAGTCCACTAATTCAAGCCCCATTAAAAACAGTGTAAAATCAGCACCGTTCAGGGCCCAATAGCATGCAGTCCAACATCCTTGAAATTTTAGAAACACAAATGAAATTATTGTCCAGTCCCTAATCTTTCAATTTCTTTTCAATTTTTTGTGGATTAACCAATTACATTTTTAATTATTCCCACAAAACAAAATCACCCCCCCCCCCGAATAAGTTATTTTTCCAAAGTCTGATTGCAGCCATTTTTCAAGTGGCAACCCTCAACTTTCTTGGGCACTGACGACCACTTTTAAACCGTAGTTTTTAGCCATTCTGCTCTCATATGAAATCTCAAAGACCCAGGGAGTTGATCTTGGCAACAATTTACACAATCTCACCATTTTGGGGGCCAAACAATCTCCTTTTTCAAAAGATGGTGCGGGGGCACTTTTAATGCTAATGAGCTGGCCAGAAATTCTCACTTGAAGTAGTGGTCTGCACCCTTAGCATGTGGTACCGGTACATTGTTTTACCTTAAACTTCCTGAAACTGTTTTGATCAGTTAATTCCAGGGGTCACGAAAAACTGGCAATTTTTTTCAGGAACAGTTTTGCAGATAGAGCACATGTACACATGTTTTATGTACTGGTACCTTCGTTGTGATGGCTACACACATGCTGACTGATAGTTTTGTTTTGTTTTTTGCGAGGAGTCTGGAGACAATTTTTTGTCCCCACAACTCCATCATAAATTTCCCAACCGTAGACAATGTACCCCGCAATACAGGACTAGCCAGGGCACACGCGCCGGCGATGAATATGCACAAGGGTAGATGATGGGTGAAACCTGTCAGAGTTCCCGTTTGTTTTCTATTTGGGTGACCA